CCTTCAATGCGTAGCTCCTTTTCCAACCATCCCCCACTAGACAGCCCACCGACAGTGCTGGATTTATGCACCAATTTATCAGCTCCCGCCTGCAACGCGCAGCCACCTACCCCTCCCCCCCAAAGTCAAAGAACTGCTCTCTCTCCCCCCAAACCATCGGTGAACGAAACTGCGGCAGCTACAACCACTGTACGAGGAGTACGCGGTTATTACAGCTGACAATGATGATATTACAGCTCTTCCGCTGCGCACCTCTAGTGATTCAGAGGCTGTTGTGTTGGGATGTGCAAGATTCTGTGTCGTCCTAGGTCACCGGGCGGAAAAATCCTTGCGTGATTGGGTATCCGTTGATATTCGCCCATGCATGGTTCGTCTGGCAACGTCTGTGAAGCATTCTCACAAGCGGGAAGTTGGTCGATTACGTGTGTCTGCTTACGCCCCAAGCGAATGTAGCTTCGACGTTGTCGAAGGCAGGTTTTACGACAACCTGAGTGCTCTGCAAAATATGGCTGCGAACCGATATCAGTGGCGTTCTTGTTGCCGGTTTCTATCCAGACTGCCTGAATGAGTGTCTGGAGGTTTAGGCAAATCGGAATTATTGTAGTACGTTAGCACTAAGTCCCTTCCCCATCCACCTTTATTTTTTTCACAATAAATCAGATTATTTTGCAGATATCATATGTGTCCCCTTTTTTTCCACAATCCTTCCTTATTCCGTTACCTTTCAGCTTATCTGGTGTACTCAACTAGTCAGGCCTTAATATGAAGCAAGCTGCGATTCGTAAGTTCAATTCCATTCGGTCTCCACCACTGGAACCAAGAGAACCTGGTTTGGCGAAGAAATCGGTTCCTGGACCTACGAGCCCAATGCATTTCATCAGCCTTCTGCTCTTTTCCACCTTCCGACGTCCCATGTCTGTCAACACAATGACCAAAGCGGGCGTGTATTTATGCATCGCCGCAGGAGTTTCACTGTTTTTCGACTTCGTTCACATGCCACCGTCGTACTTTTCAAATAAGTACAATTTACTCAATCAAATTTTTGTAAAATGGGGTTGGGGTTGGACTTGTTGTGGTTTGACCACTTTCGTGATTTTCTCTTCATTTGTCTATACCGGCGGTAATATACAGCTCATACGGGCGCACCTTTTGAGGACGGTAGTCGGTACAGCCTTCTGGTACATCATAACTGGATTCATTAACTTCATACATGATGCAACTGGACATTGCCATCCAGCTAGTTTACTCTTGGCCTCAGGTGAACGTCCTCATCGCCGTACACTGTGTCATCGCGTCGGTGGTGTATGGCTAGGGTTCGACGTATCGGGGCACTGTTTTCTATTGGTTATGTGCAGCTTGTGGATTATGGAAGAGGTCAAGTGTATGCAGTATTGGTCACGGCTTGCAGATATTTTAAAACCGTATGATACACATTTGGATGCCGACAATTTGCATGCAGCGCTTTCCAGACGTGTCACTGTGAATGAAATCAAAGTAATGCGTTCTGCCTTCTGTCGATTAACCGGTTCGATTCGTTTTCTGTTTTCCTTCGTCTCCTTTTTGTGCATCTTATGGGACATCATGTTCGTTGTCACGGTGGTTTACTTTCACACTATGCCCACAAAACTGCTGGGCACTGTGCTCGGTGTCTCCTGCTGGTTCATCGCATACCGTGTGGTCTTCCCGTGTACGAAGAATGGAAAGTGGTTCGGTTTTGCTCCAGGAATGCCAGGAGAAAGTCCACTAGAGTTTATGCCCCGATGATGCAGTACCTCCTCAATGCTTCTTTGGACCACAAATGCAAACAGAACCGCATGTGTCAGCGATACTATTTCCTTCGTAGTGATCTTGTTTTGTATACCTCAGTTGTTACTTCTCCCCTGTACACATATTTGCTCTTTCCTAGTCACTCAGTTTTTTTTTGTTGAATGACCAGGGATTTCGTTTTCGTGGTCAAGGGCTCCACAAGCCGGTGATGGCTGTTTATCGTGTTTAAAAGGCACATATAACTTGAACCCTGCTGACTTAGCTACCAAGTGCAGTCTTATTTTCCAGTCAGTGATTTTGATTCACAATAGGATGTTGCTACCTGTTAGCTAGGCTGGGTTCGGCTCCTGTGATTCACAAATTCTCACTGAATCTCGGGCCAAAACGTTTACCACAGTGAATGGACTGGAATCGCAGTCTATCTAACCCTTTAACTGTGTTGCTCATGACGTTTTATATTTTTGTCTAATTTTCGTTGGATTCAACATCTGTTCCGTACAGTGCAGAACCACCTCACACAACTTTACAGTGGTCACTGCTGGGTGGTAACCTGAAATCACCCTAAACAATGAACCATCATAAGGCTACCTACCTGATGCGTGATAGCTTTTGTTATTGGGATTGACTGAATTGTATGCCACATACTATAAATTGCAAGTTCGGACAGTATACTGGAAACATGGTGGGAGTTGGATGTTTGGAAAAACGAGTATCGTTTTCTGCGTCCCGCTGGAATACTCCCAACTAGTTCAATACCATGTAGCCTCTACGAAGAAATCCCTCGGTAATTTGTCATGGTGGTATTCCTATTAAAGTAATAGGGCGGGTATCAGGTGCTATAGCCTGACTGACAGCTAAGGGTTATCCATGCTTCCTAATCATCGCCGGTGAGAATGCGAATAAAACCGGGCGCTTACATCCAAATTCCAAAGGTCATGCTTGTGTTGTCATCCAACATTTGACATTATCTGCCGCCTTAATGATCACAGTTAGCTTTGCAGAGACTAAAGGCGCATCCTCGAACAAAAGACCAGGTGGTGCTAGAGCGTCACGTGCCAAAATTCTCACCATTCCGTGGAATATCTCATGTACAACACCCACCATGCCCTAAATCTTACAGCCTCTCCCTGGGTGCCAAGCGTCTCATTGGTCACCAACTTTTTGAGCCACAATAAGAGCTGCCGGTCCTACAACCATAACAGACAGCATACTATCAGTGTTCAACACCAGTTCTTCGCTCAGCGGTCGAAAATAACTGCGATGAACTTGGGTACCTTAACGGATGTCGGAATCCAGTGCATTACTTTCTGCAGCCCGCATAGCTACGAAGTTTAAATGAGCCGTCTCTCTAAAGTACGGTTAGTTGTCTCCGATCCGACGTAGCTGAAGTTTTCAGGCGTCCGTGTCGAAATGATGGTGCGAGCATCCGTGTTGTTATTTTTTCTATAATCCCACAAGCGAGTGTATCTCTGGTCCTATAATAATCGGAACATCAATGGAGCCTCCTGACCGGTCTCAGCTTATACGCAAACGTAATCATGACTGACAACAACACTGGCGCCTAACCGCCGCAACCATGGAGCCATGTTGTGGACTGTCTCCGCAGTTTATTCGCCAGCAGTGATATGGAATGGAACGACCTACTTTCTTTTGTAGACTGAAGTTGGACGTGCACGCAACCTATCCAAACACTAGTCAGATCTGCACTATTTGTCATACTAACGATTGTGACTTATTACCGAGTCCTTGTTGGCGAACTCTTTCTTTGTGAGTGTACTTCAGCTAACTCCCCCTAGCGGTCGAATGTATGGAAGCATTCTAGGTTCTCAAATCGGATGTGGCTCCAGCGAGATGGCCGAAGTTGTTAGCGCGAATTTACTGACCGCAAGGTCTATGGTTCGAATCCGACCTCCACCTCTCGACTTCCCCTTTCTAGGCTTGGGCAACCTGACACTATCCCAGCCCTCGTGCCTCCTATGAGTGGCATGGCAGTTAGGCGCCGAAAGGGTGCTACAGCTGATCGATATTTCCCCCAGTCAGTCCTAATAGCCTTAAGGGCTGTCAAGGCCCATTAGCGTCAAAAAATTGCTTCTGGCATCGCAAATGAAGTGCGGAAAAACCCTCACGCTCGAGTACTTTAACCGGAAATTTCAAATAGACAGGAGAGGTGAAAACCCGGAAGCAAGTTTTTGCACTTTTTCATGTTCGAAACGCATGCTGAAGTGGGGGACTCCTGATATCCTGTTTGTAGTCGAAGGTACGCACCGTTGGTTGTAAAGTAACGAAAACGTCCACCAACCTTTTTCTAGGTGATATTTTCTGCCCCTTAGAATATGCATTGAATGACCCTTTCAACGACAAATTGGACAAAAACATTGACGAACAAGAACCCTTGTAAATCCCATTTTTTATGGGGTAACTTCTGGCAGATTACCGTTAACCTTAGGGTGACAGGTCGCGTTAGAACAGAAAGCGCATGTATCTGCTGAAGTGTAGTATAGGTGTTTTCCTGTCTATAGAATCAAAGGCCTCTTTGAATTAAAGAATATAGGTGATCGTTAGTGGCGGAACGCGTTTGATTGCTTCAGGCTTTTGACTTGATATAAATATGTGGTGGATACATCATCTGCCTGATCGGGATCCGGATTGCCACCCCCGTGCTTACGTCCCATTTCTTAGAAGCCCAGAATCAGGGACGCTGGTCATCGTGTTGTGATAATTGTAATTCTTGTACCTCTGTTATTCGAATAACTGCTTCTGAATAACGGTACGACAGCTGACCAGCATTGTTGTTTGCAGCCAGTAAGCTTGCGCGGTCGTTATGATAATGAAGAACTTCTACTAGTGCTTGGAGGATGGTTGACGTCCCAGACCTAGACGATGATCTTTTTTTGATTGGAATGTGACATGATAACCCAGCATCCAGCTCTCCCCCAACAGCTAAAACATAGATGCCCACCTACCACGCAGATTTAACGGTTGTCTCATCCACTGAACTAAATCTAGAATCCGGATTCGTCTTATTCATCAGTACGTCTAGACATATCGTCGATACCCCATAAGTTTACCGACGCACGCAGCACTTAATAGCTTTTGAAAGATATATACGGGGAATTTGAGAACACCCATCTGGAGATAGGGATCCTCTTCTTTATCTCTTCACTAGGCCATCACACATGGGTAAATCTAAATCAATCGGCATGACTGTCCGAGTGCTCAAAACCAGATGTTACGAGGCCCCAGAATGTTGGATGGTGGACTAGATTACTTGGGCTTACGTGGGGTGTCGTAGTTTCTACTTACTGTTGACAGCGAGTTGGACGATGAGTGAGCAGCTTGTATCAAATTATTTTGGACGCCTGTGAATATTGGTGGATGTGGCTCCTTCGGTGTTCTCTGTTTCCATCCTGGGACTAACTTCGGATAGCCATGAATGTCGTTCGGGATCCTAGTGTCCTGTGTGTACAGTGTGTGCCAGAACCGAAGTGTCGATTTTCATATCTCGCTCAGACAACCACGAACACATTTAGATATGCGCTTACACAACATTCTTGTCGTTTGGCCAATATTGTGAACCCCACGGGCCAATCAAATTGGTGAACACAAATGTTCACAGCGTGGTAGTTGGTCTTTCAGTTTTTTGTCGCTAGTATGAGGAGACTTGGGAGTCTTTTTATTGAGGTTTTGTATTGCAAATGGAAAGCACTGCACAACTTTCTAACCCTCATTGGGAATAAGTATCACCGAGCATCTTACGAAACTTCAGAGAGTTTCGAACCCGCGACCTCCAGCTTAGTAGTCTGAACGGCTGATCAGAAGTTAGTAACTCGCTTTTAGACGGAATATGGCGCCGCTCTCGTTCAATCAAGAATCCACACCACGTCGTCACGTGTTAACTGCCTCCTCGAGTGACAACTTCTCAGCTGGAAACTTCATTCGTCACGATAGTTTATTCTCCCTCTGAAGAGAATTGGGGATTTCCAATTGATATTTCATCCTGTCTTGACATCGTGCTGGCGAAGAAAGACAGTGTTCAACACATTTCTGAACACCTTCGGAAGCTTGTCTCTAGATCTCTAACCGATTGGTCGTGAGCTTATTGGCTTGACTGACACCTCTTCCAGCGTTACACTTTTGATGCAGTTGGTATCAAAATCTTGTCAGAACTGCCACTTTCCTTCGAGATGTCTTCCAGTGACCTGTTTGTTGGCATTTTGAACAGGCGACGCATTAGTTTTCAGGTTGTCCGATCCCTGTTTATTTTCTTTTTTCCCTCTGTGCTACTGTCTAACCACCTCTAGACAGTACCAAAAGATATGCCAGCCTATCATCCCACGCACATAAAAGTCCTGTGGTGGTGAGCATTAGTAAGTGGTTCCGGAGTGCCGTTGGCGTCTGTTCCCATCGCGTTTCATCAATGTGTCATATTCATGAAACCTATCTGTGGCGCCCCACGCACCAGAAGAAAATTCAACTTGCTGGTAATAGCTTCCCTTCAATGGTAGTGTATTTCGCCCGAATTCTACGAAAAGTTCATTGTGTAGTGTGCTCAACCACAATGATGAACCAATTCATGTGAAGATAAACCCAGGTTTGCACCAGTGGACCACCGAAATCAACTAAACACCTTCACTATTAGCCATTGTCATATCTGAAAGACACTGAGCTGCTGAGTGACGAGGATTGGTGATGACTAAAGCAAAATTATGCAACAACTGTGGCTTCGCAGTGTCGAGCGTGGCTCCCGTAAGCGTGAGGCAGTGAAACAATTTAATGTGATAAATATCAATTAATTGCATGGTATAATCCATCCGGGATAGGCCAAGTAATAAATGAGACTTCTCTGTGGATAGACTGGAAGCACGGTCTTTTAAAATTCAACACACCTACGGATGTTATTGCAGAAAACCATATGTTTCACTGTTAAGTGAGTCGATGGAAATAAGAAAGGTACCTTGCAGATTTCGACAAATACACTCATTCGCAAATCAATCTGGTTTTCACGGGTGACTCAGGTGAATCACTTGTTTATGCTGTCTTCAACTGAAGGTACTGCAAAAAGGCCACCCCATGTTTCAGTTGGTACGATATTCGAGATGCCGCAGTATTATTTTCAAAAGGGAAACTACTCACAAGGTTGCTGAAAACTGTCGAAGAGTTTCAGCAACCTTGTGGGTAGTTTTCCTTATGAAAATACTTTACAGATATTTGAAAAACTGCCTGTCATTCGAATGTTATTTTCACATAGCCATGTCCACGAACGTGCGGACAGTCTTTCATCTCCAACAACTTGATCTGGATGAATTCGATCACTGGTTATTACTCACGCCTCTCATATCGCAAGGATCCCAGTGAGATTACCGGGTTATTTGCGAAAATTCGATGAGTGCTGTTTCACCCTGTTCTTTCAAGTTGATATCTGAGCATTTCGACTTTTAAATGCCGTTGACGTTCGAGTGAAAATACTAGGTTCGATACAAAAGGAACGCTCTTTCGGTGTCATTCCCATAGTTCTTCATTATTCAAGTTATGACCACCTATTTTTCCGTACCATCAATACACCTGTGTGTAAACCTGATCCAGTCGATCGATTCAGAAGTGAACAAGAAGCCAATGGGACAGTACAGTGGGTAGGATAGTAACACCAAGATGCGATATCCTGTAGGCAGAACTCTGCACGGTTGGTGGCGACCGCTTATCGGTGGATTGGCATGGGACTATAAACCAAATGATATTCTGCTTGCACGCCAAACAGTGCTTTAAATTGGCTTCCAGGCAGGTGCACCTATAAACAACAACGCGTGTGTAGCAGGAAGAGTAAATATGAACAGAGGTGGATTACCTAAAAGAGATCATTATATATGTATGTACGACTGGTCTAACATTACCAATTTTAAAACTCAATAAAAACGATAATTTTTCCTCACTGGCGACACCTGGTATGAACCCGAGTCTACTTTGTTATCGTTTTGCTTCTTCTGCTGAAAAATGTCACCAAAATTGCGTATTCTCTGACACAATTCTTCCTCTTATTTTCGTTCTGCCACCACTATGGTATTGAAGCCTGCTGTCTAGGGAGTTAGGCTTAAGCCACGGCCAGGAATTTGCCCGGGTTGAGTCACTCTCGTCACGTAGCTGGCCCGTCCGATTCTACTGTCTAACTACCCATCTCCCTCGAACAGGAAGGAGATAGGTCAAACACGTATCCCATGCATTATCCTTCATGTAATAGGCACAAATAATCCAACCAACCGGTATGAGTCGAAGGTCATGCTCCATCAATCATAAACGGTTAGGCTACCCAAGTTCACCCATTCGGATAACGAACAAAATGGTGCACTCGATGCTCACTCATCCTTTGTGCGACCTAATAGTAGACCAGTAAGTAACTGGGGTTGTTGGGTGTCTATTCCCCTAACAACCAGATGAACACGGCCAACTGCTGCAGGAGCCGCCTACACTAAGTCGAGAACGCGGACTCCCTTGAACATGACGTCATACGTTTTGCCTCTGTTTACCACAGGTTGTGAAGTGAACAGGTAAGGCGGCAAGCCATCTAGCTGAAGCATTGATTTCTCACAGTAACCGATTTGGTGTGTAGGTTAGCCCTGTATAAATAGGCTTAGGGATCTGCGTCAATCAATAAAACGGCGAACACTGCTGTAATGACTGAAGACCCAGATGTTTGGACACTCATTGTGGTAATAACGCGTACGGCCGTTGTTATTACAACTATTCTTGAGTACCGCCAAAATTTATTCCATTAACATGCTGCGCTCATCCGGAAACTCATAAATGAATTTATGATGTACCACCGATTTTTATGATCCGGTTAAATTACAATAAAGTACTTTATTCTAGTGCACTATAAGAGCGGCAAGCGTCAGTGGATGTGAAGCATTGAACCCCCAACGTCCACGTTTTTGTGTGTCGGTTGCGTGCACGTGGGAACAGATCACTGTTCTAGAAAAGGCCCAACGTAATTTCGCTGCAAGGTATCAGTCCGCATCGCGTGTTTTCGGATAAAGCATGAATAATATGGTGAACGATGAGCACGTGAGTCTGCTCACTGATATTCCGACCAAAATAGTGTTACAGTATTCGGATGAACTGAATAGTCCTATTTAAATAAACTTGTGGGTTGCCTATCTGACCAATCGCAATAAATGGCTAAACTAGCAATCGGGACGAGATAGATCAGTGGTTAGAGCGCGAATTTACTGATCGGAAGGTCTGTGGTTTGAACCCGACCTCTAACTCTTCGCTTCATCTGTCTAGGCTTGAGCAACCTGGCAACATCCCAGCCCTCGTGATTCTTTCTGGTCGCATGGCAGTTAGGCACCGAAAGGGTGCCACAGCTGAATGATTTAGATATCGATCTCAGCGAACTATGATTCCGCAAGAAATGGGTTCGCCTCTGATTGTAAGTAGTACGGACCAAGTCTCAGCCACGGATATTCCTTTCCTATATGAATTAACCCATTTACGTGACGCTTTTGGACAAATTTTGACGTACTTCAGACAGTCGTTTCTGTCTTACATTTAAGGGAGCAGGGTGGACATGCAATGATCGATTATGCCCATAAATGTAAAGTAAATATAGATGCATTCACGAGCTATTATCAAGTTGGAAAAAATAAGAAAAGCTCGAATATGCCTGCAGCTTCTTCCCAAACCTTCATTCTTTGACCAGTTATTCCGGTCCAGGTGTTTCTGGACCCTCATTAACTTTAAACCTCGTGCAACAAGTATCGCAGATGATCGATCAGAATTCATCTGCTCTTAACCCGACAAATTCAGATGTTCTGTGCAAATCGGAGGTTTTTAGTTCACATGGTCCCTCATGCTCCGTGCTGTCTCTTGTTTCGTTAACGCGCTTGCAGTATACTTACTTTGGCTGGCCCTTCTTGTCTCAGAAAACTGTCTACAGAGTCCGATTTCTATAAGCACCATTATTGTTTCGTACTCACAGGCCACACCAAATGGTGATATGTAGGTAAGAGGGTTATACGCCAACTGTAAATGCATGCCTACTTGCCTGTCATCATTTCCTGCAAATTTAACCGTGAACCAACATTTCCGCGCACATTTAGCCTTTATTTTACTGTCCTGTAGGGACCCCGGCGTTGAGACACTTCGAACTATGGACGTTGGTTGGAGAAAATTTCCACAGGTCCACCAAACCGATCTAATCTCCCTTGAAGGCATACAGTTTGATTTTTGGTCGAGACCGCTTCTGTTTACTACGTAGAATGATTTATAATAACAACAGAGAAGCGTTTCAGGTCTGCTCCTGTCGGCACTGGACAGAATGAATATATTCGCCACACTTGGGCCGGGTGGTCAGCTGTGATTCAATGCACCGACGCTACTTCATTCGCCGTTTCTGGATACTGCTAGCATTCCGACGAGCTCTTCAGCGTCTCAACTTAGCTGCGGCCAAAATGCACACCTCCAGAACACGTCGTAACCACCTTTACGGTGGATATCCACTTGCTCTTACGTCACCTACAGCAGTCGGTGTCAATGCTTCATCGACGCACATGGCACTGGGTCTCCAGTCCGTTGTCGATGTTAACTTTGGTCAGCAGCGTTCAATTCTTCAGGTAGCGCTTGATCCATACGTCAAAAATTCTGTACAGCTCAGATGACGTTGCTTGTGCCTTCTTACTTTAGACCGACCACCTTCTTGGCCAAGAAGCATGTTCAAAGTTACAAACATCTGTCGACTTGACAGTTCGTCTGTGTTGATTTCTGGCATGCTACACCGTTAATTTTAGTTACTGAAGCCCTAGGGCTTACCCAGCTAGTCACCCCAGACAGGAGTCCGGCCTTCAGCCATATTAAAGATTTATGGTCAATTTCGGCAGTGAATTTTCAACGCCTGAACTACTGCCAGATAATCTTTTGCGGTTGTGGGGCATTTTGTTACTGCTACGGTGAGCAATCGGTTTGAATATTCTGTTATTCAGGTCAGCTGTGGCGTCCAATTTCAGTGTCACTGGCAACGACTGACGTGGTTCCGATTTAGTTAGGCATCTAGGTTTAGATATCCTGTTTTTTTTCGATTCCTTGAATACACTCCCTATTTCGGCAGCGAAGCATCGGTGTTGAACAGTGATGTCATGCTGTCGATGATGATAATGCTGACTCCCTATTTCTGTAGTTCACGCAAGAGCTTTATGCTTATGAGGTGACTTAAACAGTGGAAACTACTTATGGGAGGATTGTGGGTCACATTTTGTGTAAACCATAAATGACCACAGTTCTCACCCCAAACACCTGACAGGATAAATTTTAGTGCCTCCTAATTTATCTGGAAGTGGGGATGGCCGCTACTTAGCTTCGGCCCGCCTTCTCTAAATCCCTAAAAGATTTCTCCGTTTCCGTACATGCTCCTGCTACTTCTCAACTTGCACAAAAAGTCCGTCTCTGTAATCCAGTGAAAATTGTAGAAAAATTTGCTTGAATGTGATAGAGTGTATAAATCAAAAGACCTCGATGAGTTCGTACTTCTGTCCACTAATACAAAAATGCAGTTGTATTCCTGTAAGGATCTACCATAGGATGTCTCCAGTGGTTGTCAATAGCCCCACCATATTGCTGCACTATGCGAATGTCTCCACTGGCTTGTTTTCGTTACGGAAAAGGCATCTTCTGAGAAGTGTTAGTGCACTGGTTCACTGATTGTATCACAGTGGTCTTTCTGTTGTTCATGTGATGCAAACTTCGTACACGATCTGCGAACGACCGACGTATCAAATCAATCGGTGAACGGTCACATTTTTGGACTGATGATCAACGGAACTGTTCACCTCCCCTTCATGCTTGTGTAAACATCGCCAAATCAGGTGACGTGAAATAACATTTCCACAAGTCGTTTACTTTGTCACTGGCGTGAAACCTGCGTCATTTCATCCATCTGGAGTAAAAAGCCCAAGAAAATCACCACAAAATAGTGACGTATGCTGAGTTGAAATAAAATTTCTATGGAGTCACAGTCTTGCACTATCAAATCTATCTGAAATCAGTACATAAATAACAATGACAAGCTAACCTGACATTTAAGACATTTACCGAACGTCACCATTGCCAAAAATGCACACGACATCGCCACAAAATTATGCTGTCTATCTACAAAATACCTACCTCTGTCAGTAGCATGACCTTGATCTACGGATGAAGAGTATGCATCACACGTCTTCACTAACGTAGTGTCGGCTTTCTGTCCTCTCATCTGACCGTTGTATATGAATAATAAAGCTAAGTGAATACGATTCTTGAGCTGGAGAATTGTTTCTGCCACGCGTTGTATCACGCAGTGCACAGTAGCTTAGCTGGCCATGACCCTGCTCAGGTTATACGAAACGGATCAGCGTGGTATCGTGGGTAAGAAGATTGACAAGTGCAGTGTAATGTCTTATGTTAAGCAAACCGGTTTGGAAGCCACTCCATCCACCGTGGTCCATTAAAAGTGTACTATCCCAAAGCTCAAAGACTATATACGTACCAAGTGGCCATCGATAAAGCTATGTCAACCTGGTCGACCACGTCATTGCATGACCTAAACAGCTCCAAGTAAAATATTCACGATCGCATCCTGATGGTACAAAGCCGTGGGGGACGGGTTTCAAAATGTGCAACTACATCCACTGATGAATGAAAGAAAGAAAGAGTGTGGGGGCACAGGACAGGAAGTCAACAGAGCTCCGCAAGTCTCCGCGGTATACTACGGAACACGTGTGGTAGCCATACTGCAGAGAAGACACGTCCCGCGTCCGGAACTTCACTCAGGAACTCTCAACAAGTGTTCTCAAACGATTAGTCACTTTTTGGATTAGTTCACTTTTAGCATTGTATCCTATTTTATCAAGTGCACCTAACTATTGTATTTATTACATTCTAGTAAGACAGACATTTGTTAGTGCTTGTTACCTCCTGATAATCAACTTAATTACGTCACAACTAGAGCACTAACGTGTCCTTTGAGCGGTTTCCCGTTCCAACATCCAGCCGTAAACTGCGTTGTTCTGTACAATGCATATATATGCGCAAATGTACGGTAGGGTGTGTTGCAGTTTCGTAACACTGGTCCGTTGCGCGGTGGTTTCACATCCTGGTCGATAAGCTAATCACTCTGGTTATCGTACGACCAATCAATACTTTCATTTCCCATGCAACGCGTGACTGAGTGCAACGCTTAGAAGACATCATCGCTGTGTTACTCCCACACCATTCCGTTTCCGAAATCCAATTCTATCTAATGTGCGGGTTTTTCTTTTCTAATGTCTATCTATACCTTACAGCTGTTGGCTAAATGGCACGTAGCATGTGGTCGCTGGTCTTACACCATAGCTCAACCTTTTATCAAGTCATGAATTCAACTGAAATGCCTTGCCGATTAGGTCTGTTTAACTACCATATTCGACCCGATATGAAAACACGCGCTGAGAAGTAATAAAAACTCCTAAATAATTTGATGAAAAAGGGTTGAAAGTAGTTTGGTTCGTTGAATATTAATAGAACAACGAACTTTTATTGATGTATTTTTTGCATCCGACCGTTCTTGGGATAATTCACCGGTCCCAACTTTATTAATTACGATAGCAGCTTGGATCATGTCATCATATACCTCATCAAAGGTGCCGAATTGTGCCAGAATTTCTCAGAGGGAGAGTATATTCAGAACATAACATCTATTAACTGGAGTGTCAACTGACCGAATTCACAAGTGCCTGCAAAATGATCACCCCAGCAAGTTCACTTGGCGACGTTGACATGACATAGCACATGCCAAAAGGTCAGTTGTTCATAGCGGAACAGTTCGCTGTGGCGTTCTCGGAAATAAGCGAGTTCGTTGAAATGGAGACACAAACATCAGTTTGCCTTCCTTGTGATTCACCATCATATCAGAGAAATTATCCAGTTTCCACTTCGGAAAGCCGTATGCCATAAACAAGGTAAGGACTCCGCAGCAGTTGTTACCAACTTGACCAACTCACGCAAGTCACACAAGCATCAAACGTTGGTGAGAATGAACAAGGTCGTTTCTCTCTCCATTGTAGACCCAGACTTAATACGTAGCGTTCAAAGTGTAGAATTTCCGCACCGTGGATGCAAACATGCCTATTGACACGGACATCGACAGTGACTTTTCCATGGGACCAAAATGGTAACCTTCCACAAACATCATCTGTTTATTATTTGTGCGACACTTAGGTTGGTGATGTTAGTGATAGTAATGATGATGGTAATGATAGAGCCATTAGCACAGGAATCTCGTTACGTTATTAGTTGATACGGCATTGTCATTACTAACTTCATGCAACCATGACGTTTTTTGAAAGCCATCCGACTTCACGCCATTTCGACCGCATTTGCTTCATAATTGACATACCTCATTCTGGCCGTCAGATG